CATTGACCATCATACCACACAACGAAACAACAATAATGAGCACAACAAAATCATTGACCATCATACCACACAACGAAACAACAATAATGAGCACAACAAAATCATTAACCATCATACCACACAACGAAACAGCAATAATGAGCACAACAAAATCATTGACACTCATACCACACAACGAAACAGCAATAATGAGCACAACAAAATCATTGCCCCTCATACCGCTAAACGAAACAGCAATAATGAGCACAACAAAAGCATTGACCCTCATACCACACAACGAAACAACAATAATGAGCACAACAAAATCATTGACCCTCATACCGCACCACGAAACAACAATAATGAGCACAACAAAATCATTAACCATCATACCGCACAACGAAACAACAATAATAAGCACAACAAAATCATTGACCCTCATACCACACAACGAAACAGCAATAATGAGCAAAATAAAATCATTGACACTCATACCACACAACGAAACAACAATAATAAGCACAACAAAAGCATTGACCCTCATACCGCCCAACGAAACAGCAATAATGAGCACAACAAAATCATTGCCCCTCATACCGCTAAACGAAACAGCAATAATGAGCACAACAAAATCATTGACCCTCATACCGCACCACGAAACAACAATAATGAGCACAACAAAATCATTGACCCCCATACCACACAACGAAACAACAATAATGAGCACAACTAAATCATTGACCATCATACCACACAACGAAACAGCAATAATGAGCAAAATAAAATCATTGACACTCATACCACACAACGAAATAGCAATAATGAGCACAACAAAAGCATTGACCCTCATGCCACACAACGAAACATCAATAATGAGCACAACAAAAGCATTGTCCCTCATACCACACAACGAAACAACAATAATGAGCACAACAAAAGCATTGACCCTCATACCAAACAACGAAACAGCAATAATGAGCACAACAAAATCATTGCCCCTCATACCGCTAAACGAAACAGCAATAATGAGCACAACAAAATCATTGCCCCTCATACCGATAAACGAAACAGCAATAATGAGCACAACAAAATCATTAACCATCATACCGCACAACGAAACAACAATAATAAGCACAACAAAATCATTGCCCCTCATACCGCTAAACGAAACAGCAATAATGAGCACAACAAAATCATTGACACTCATACCACACAACGAAACAACAATAATAAGCACAACAAAATCATTGACCCTCATACCGCACCACGAAACAACAATAATGAGCACAACAAAATCATTGACCCTCATACCGCACAACGAAACAGCAATAATGACCACAACAAAAGCATTGACACTCATACCACACAACGAAACAACAATAATAAGCACAACAAAAGCATTGACCCTCATACCGCCCAACGAAACAGCAATAATGAGCACAACAAAATTATTGACACTCATACCGCACAACGAAACAGCAATAATGAGCACAACAAAAGCATTGACCCTCATGCCACACAACGAAACATCAATAATGAGCACAACAAAAGCATTGAGCCTCATACCACACAACGAAACAACAATAATGTGCACAACAAAATCATTAACCATCATACCGCACAACGAAACAACAATAATAAGCACAACAAAAGCATTGACCCTCATACCGCCCAACGAAACAGCAATAATGAGCACAACAAAAGCATTGACCCTCATACTACACAACGAAACAACAATAATGAGCACAACAAAATCATTGACCATCATACCACACAACGAAACAACAATAATGAGCACAACAAAATCATTGACCATCATCCCCCACAACGAAACAACAATAATGAGCACAACAAAAGCATTGACCCTCAAACCACACAACGAAACAGCAATAATGACCACAACAAAAGCATTGACACTAATACCACACAACGAAACAGCAATAATGAGCAAAATAAAATCATTGACCCTCATACCCCACAACGAAACAGCAATAATGAGCACAACAAAATCATTGCCCCTCATACCGATAAACGAAACAGCAATAATGAGCACAACAAAATCATTGACCCTCATACCACAAAACGAAACAACAATAATGAGCACAACAAAAGCATTGACCCTCAAACCACACAACGAAACAGCAATAATGACCACAACAAAATCATTGACACTCATACCGCACAAAGAAATAATTTCCAATGAGAGCATGAGATAGCGACCATACTTGATCAACCTGCATCTTCGAAACTCTATGCTGTAAGTTTGTTTGTCAGCAGGCGAAAACTATGGCATGACTCTAACCTTCTGTGTTTTCTTCAATTCTCCGACATATTTTTTATTAAAGCTGTAGGGTTTGTATGTTCTGTATGTAAATGTCTGAATATCTGACTACCAAAGTCTGTATGTTAGTGTCTGAATATCCGACTATCGTTCTCTGTATGAACGTGTCTATCTTTGGCTATTGTGGTCTATGACAGTTACTGTATGTAGTATGGTCACTTTTCTTAACAGGCGTATGTACAGAACCCATCACTCCTGAATATGGATTTCCTCTGACCGATTCGCAAACGTCATACCCAACAAACGCTACTTATGACCTGTTCTGCCTACCAGCATACACCATATCAGGGGAGAGCACTCTCACATGTCTTAGTTCGGGAAGTTGGAATTACGACACGCCAACCTGCGCACCATCAGGTATTGATTCTTGATTGGTTCTATGTATGATATTTCATCATTAATGTGCCACATTGTCTCGAAAAACACACACACATTGTTAAAAAAATATTTTCGTTAATGCAATATTTAGTTTGTTCTTGCGATAACCTGATAGTTGGTGATCAAATTGTTTTCAATCAAATTGGTTGATGGAAGATATCGATTCTTCAAACGAGGGTAAACAATCAAATATAAAGTCATTTGGACCGAACAGCATTGTGAAAACAACTTTTCACAAAAAGGAACACATCAAAAAACTAAAATTTTAAAAGAGAAAGATGTATAGATCGTATGGTAAATAATCATATACAAATGCCTTTCATATCAGGAACGTTTAAAATCGGCACATTCAATCAGTACATTTTGACTGTAAAATGTAAATCGAAGGGAAGAATCTTTTCGTGAAATGTAAGCGTGCAATGGAGATATGGCCCATTAGTCCGAATTATTCTGACGTTTTATCGACATTTTTCATATCGGTCTGTCGTCGATTAACGACAGACCGATATGAAAAAAGTTGTTAAACGTCAGAATAATTCGGACTAATGGCCCATGTACAGTAAACGGCTTCCTCCTAGAGGTCTGCTCTACTAGTTGCACATGAACCTAAATTATGGTGAATCTGCAAGTTCATTTTAATAATTTTTGCTATGGATATGGTTTAATTTGGGGTTTGACATTTACTTCTAACCTTAAATAGGTGTCCGTTGTACATTATAATACGTCATGTTATTTATTAAGGTGACATTGGAGTGTGGTGGCAGTTTCAAATAGACCGATAATCCGTCAATCTGGTCTTCATGACATTAGCTGTTTCGAGGACATAACCCCCCTCCCTAAAGAAACGATTTAGAATAAACTGTGATGTCATAAAAAAGTTAATGTTAAAATTGTAACATTTTTGGATACAAATCCTGGCGGACCTGCACATCTTTATGCAGGCCTTACAAGGCTTTTTCAAGTCTCGCCTGAAAGTAGCATCAGATTACTAGGTCCGACCTTATTACTATGGTCCGACCGATTCAACCGTTTAAACGAAAACAGCTTAGCTTTCTAATTTATTCGGCATTTGAAATTATTATGATGGATTACTGGATAAGATACACATGTGTTTTACCAATCACTCACTACTTCTATTAGTTAGCTATAAGAGTTACTGGTAACCTTTTGGGGATCATCGGAAACATGCAAACTTTTGTGCACGGATGCTAACAGTTTAGAAGTAGATTCTTTGTGTTTCATACCCCGATGATATGACAAGTCCCAATTATTGTTCCATTACCTGACCAATTTACCTTTTGGTTTAGAGGGTACATACCCATGGTGGCTCCTCCTTGTAATGGTAGTCGTCGTCATCATCCTCGTACCTTGTGTCGCCCCAAGGATCATCTTCTGTTGCTGGTGAGTACCATCAAGTATGCAAAATGTCAAGACAAACAATGTTAATATCAAAAAGTAATCATGGTTTGATAGATCAATATTCAGTGCTTATATAGACATAAGGCCCTATAAACCAAACGGTGTATCAACAGGAACACCATTGTGAAGTTTTAAACACTCCGATAAACGCTGTATCAACAGGAAACAGGAACACCATGTTGAAGTTTTAAACACTCCGATAAACGCTGTTTCAACAGGAAACAGGAACACAATTGTGAAGTTTTAAACACTCCGATAAACGCTGTCATCATCAGCATACTTACTACACACTCCATGATGTTAAGATGTTTTCAATATTCGATTAAGGATCCATGTCCTACTGACGGCAAAACAAAAGAGATTTCCAAAGTAAATTTTCGGACACAGAGTTAACTCCCCTTAATATCGTTTTCGATGTAACTGTATAGCGCGTCAGGGTACCACCGCTGATCAGACAGCTTATATAATTAGCTGGTTTGAGCGACAGTTTAATGATTGGAGATACAGTGTTCGAACCATGATCTAATGTAATTGAACTTTTTCACCAAGAAAAATAAAATGTCCTATAATATCATTTAGTCCTTCATTTAATGTGTGTGTCTATAAAATGAATTTAGTTGAGTCAGGTGTACTTCAATAATTATCTTACTGGATACCCAGAATGGAATACCTCATCACATAAGTCCCTTTATGACCGGAAGCATTTAATACATTTTTCGGGCCTATATTTTTCTTCATTTCAAAAATGTTTTGACTCTTTCTAAGAAATCTAAATCACTGATTCATTAAAATATTCATTTGAACATATATCTTTCCGTGTTTAAAAACGTGGTAGGATATTTACGTTTCACACCGTATCATTTCCCAGGATTTTTTTCATTTATTTTATTTTTCATTTCTTTTTTTTTTCTATTTAAAACATGATCATCATATCATGCATGAGGTGGGCAGATTGAACTAGCTTTCACCAGATGTACTCAGTAGCAGTAATGAGAGTAACATTAACATTTACTTCCAGTTGTAAGAAAGACGAGAAGGCGTCCAAGACTAACGAAGGTTACAACCACGAGCCCGACGAGGAGAGTGATGACGAGTATGACTACGAGGGGTGGGGACCGTCGGAGGAGATGACCGACTATGGTAGAGGCAAGAAAACAAATATGGACGTCATGCCAATAGCCCATCCAGAGATGGACAAGAAGCAGTTTGCGAGGGCCACAAAGAACTCCAACTTCTAGTAGGCGGTTATCACGTCAGCAACATCATATAAAATTTACTGGAGAAGGAATGTCAACTATCATAAATATACTGTGGCTATTCTCGTCCAGTCTCTAATCATCACTTGAATAAGCCTTAGTTAATAGTAAAATATCAATATTCAAATATGTTTTAACCACAAAACATAGTCTTGGTCAAAATCTATTTGAGCTGCATTAAGGGAATTTATGGCATTTTTTTTACCGATACCAACAAAGAAAAGAATGATTTCTGTCAAACAAGGGCATAATTTGTAAGTTTGTCACAAACGTTTCAGACTTCATCATAATCTAAACACTTCCAATAAAAAAACTGGTACCATTAACAATAGTTATTCTCTGTGACAACATGTATAATTGGAGTGAAAACAATCCGAGATAGCACAGGGACCTCAAAATGTGCTGGTTCCGCTATGACCTTAACTAATGTGTTCAGGTGAATCTGCAAGTTCATTTTAATAGTTTTTTGCTATGGATATGGTTTGATTTGGGTTTGTCATTTACTGGACGTCTAACCTTAAATACGTGTCCGTTGTACATTATAATACGTCATGCTAATNCCCCCCCCCCCCCCCCCCCCCAGCTATGATCTTAACTAATGTGTTCAGGACATATATAAGACGTTTTCCGGGTTTAGTTCAACTTTCGGTAAAATGTCACCCCAGGACAACTCAATGTCGGACAATCGATCACATCTTGCTTCATAGCATCAATGTGGACCAAGGTCAAATATACACTTAAATGAATTAAATTAAGCCTCAAGCTAAATAGCATTACCTATGATTCTTAGTTTTCCAAACAAATTAACACATTTGACCCCGGTGACCTCGAAAATCGAACAACATTATTAAATAAAAATAGCCCTTTATCCCAACACGCTACTAGCCAAATACATGTATCATCACCCTGGGGATTTTGCTAATCGAGAAGAAATCATTTAAGGTTTATACACATTTGACCCATGTTAACTTGAAAGTGGGCCAATGTCCTTCATTTGTAAAACTTTCGTCTCGGCATGCTTGTCAAAATATCCTAATTCACAGATGACCACCGGTCGGCCATTTACAGATACCAAGGGAAACGTACGTTTTAAATCTGAGAAAGATCTTTCCAGTACCTTCTAAGAAAATGCGATAAAAAAAATAACTGTCAAAATCCAAGATGGCCATATGTCCGCTATTATATTTATCCGATCCGTCTCAGAAGGGAACATGCATAGCAACGCCATAGACCAAGAGGGACCTACATAACAAATTTGTGAAAGATGATCATTCAATTCGTTTCTGTAAAATAGCGATAACAAATGATACAAAAACGGACAAAGGGAAACAAGCATATGAAATTTTAGAAATATGTGTCCAGTTCTTTTTTAGAAATAGCAATAAAAAACTTTAAAAATTCAAAATGCCTGCCCGATAGCCATCTTTTCCCGATCAGTCCCTGTATGAAACATGTACAACTAAGAACCAAAGGGAATATTCATACGAGTTTGAGAGAATTACTTCTTGAGAAATGGTAATAGCAAACGTTAACACTCAAAATTCAAGATGGCTGCCTTATATGAGTCATTATTGGATTCCCATTGGCACATCAACACTAAGGAGGTCACTAGGGCCAATAAAAAGTAGATATGTTAGAGTAAAGGACATCAATCATTTTACACTTTGACCTTACAACATTTGTTATTAACGTTTTAAAATCAGTAAATTGAAGTTTAAAATCAGCAGGTGGTAGCAATAAAGCCGCGTTGACGTTGTGATCTGCCTTGTCATTACCTCAAGTTCAAGTTCAAGTTCTTTATTACCTTGGGTCGTTTGACCCATCGGTTTCAAAAGTAAGATATATTTACAATATCTACAGACAATACAATACAATACATGCAATACATACAATACAATACCAGCAATGTACAAACAGTATGGAGAGTGTAACAAATTAAGTTAATAGGTTTCTTCTTACATTTGCCGCTTTTATATATTTGGCCAAATTGACAAGTTCTTTTGTGTTATTTACATTTGATTTATCATTTTAAACATGCTTGTTTTTTTTACATAGTACTTCTTCAAAAATTTAACACGCAAATCCGAATAACATGGACATTTCAACATAAAATGAAACTCATCTTCAACGTCATTTAAATTACATACAGTACACACTCTAAGACTACGCTCAATATTTTGATATCTACCTTTTTCTATGTTTAGATTATGAGCAGATAACCTAATTTTCGTAATCTCTTTCAAATATTCTCTAGATAATGCTTTTCTTAAGTAACACTGTAAATCAAACTGGTTATAAAGATATGTATAGATATATCCCTTTGAAGATGTTCTTACGTTTTCTTTGCATTCTTGTCTATATATATCAATAAGTCTTTCTCTAATAACATTATAACACATATCATCATTTATTTCTGTTTCCCATATGTACACAGTATATCCACATGTCCGGGAACCCAGCATAGTGTAATGTGACATGTTGAGGTAATGCTATACAGTAGTGATAATACTTCACTTATTGAGATATTCTTCAAAGTTTAGTTTCGAAGGCTCTGTAGAACATATTAGGAATCAGAATAGATGATTGACCTCGGTACACCATTTGGCATATTTGTCCAAGGGCAAAATAGATAGCACGGGCTTCTGCTGAAAATATTGATGAGTCATTTGGTGGCCGGCATCTAAAAGCGGCATCTGTCAACATGGCGATCGAGTTGTGAAAACAAATGCACAATAAGTAGAAATTATGAAAATAAACATCTTTTTAAAACTATACGATTTTAGTGTATTAAAATGTTTAAGAGCCACATTAACATGCTTGCGAAGCCCCCGATTCTGCGAGGGACTCCTCGTTATTGTTTTTTTTATAACGATATGCAGTGACAACAGAAGGCCTATTATCTGGAACGAAAAAGATCTAAGCGTTGTACCGAGGACAGCAGATCAAGTTTGGTCTCACCAATGTAAACCCCTGATTCTGTAGGGAGACCCACATAGGTTGCCTCTTATGATATGCATTGGGATACAGCAGGTATATTATTTTTCTTTTCCGAACCTGCACAGGGGTATTTTATTTTGATTTAACATCCTCGCAACAACTAGTGTTATATGAAGACGGATACTTACTACCTTTCCCCCAAATTGCTGTATCCCACTAAATGTGTAGTGTAAGAGGCGACTGATGTTGGCCTCCCTGAGTTTGGGGTTTTATTCTGTGTTTTCTACAAAGAGACCAAAATTGATCTGCTGCCCCCATTACAATTCTTGAGTTCTTTATCATTTCGTGTATTTCCTGTCTTCTTTCTTTTCTGTCTACTATCTCTTTCTGACGATCGCACCCTTTCTCATACGACCCTAGCTTTTGCAAGAAAGTTAGACCCCCGAACAAGCAAATCTTTGCGGTTGTGCGGATCAGACGTCGACATTACAATGCAACCTCACTTAAATACCATGCCGAAGGTTATAAGAAGCTTATAATCTACCCTGTCAAATTATACTGACAACGGGTACGCCAGTTGTTGTCATTACTAAAAATACTGAACACTAAGCAGGGAGTAACAACTACCATTATAAAGGACTGGTATATGTCCTGTCCTGGGGACCGAACCCATAGTAAGACCAAAAGTGAGGCATTACCAGGCAAAGCAAAGAGCGTTTTCGGAAGTCGAGAGAAATAAACATGTATAAATATCCCGGATGTTGCAATGGGTGAAGCAGACACTTTTGTGTCCCAAACAGCAAGTAGAAGGCACCAAAGCAAATCCCCGATTCTGCAGGAGTTTCATCATAACCGGCCTCTGACAACATACAGGTAAGTTAATTTCTTCATTCCCGTAGATATGTATGATGTAACGATGAAACCTGTTGAATATTTTTTGAAATAATTACGAATAACATGCCTTCTTACGAATTGTCAAAATTTAAGCGGCCTGAAGAAATTCGATTATTTTCAATTCATTCTAATATGGGTTCATGAGCAATAAAGCGGACTGGAGACAGGAAGGTGTCCTCAAGGCTGTGTCTAATGCGGCGTTCACATAGTGCCGATTATGGCTCCCGTTTGAGATCAGACAACGCTACGACACGAAAAGCGAAAAAGTCGGATTACTTTCCTCAATGATCTGGAATGTCCTATCATTGTCTGAACGCAGTCGTATACGTTCGTAACAGAGTCCTACCGATCGAGAGGGTCCGGAGAGGTCGGCCAAGCACTCCCGACAGTTAGGCGCGTCCTGTAACATTCGGGAAACTCAGCTGATTTTGTCTAGTCGGATTACAATCGTGACTATGTCGTGACAGATTCTGCTGTATCGGATCAAAATCGTAACAATATCCTGTGATGTCTGGACGGTGTCTTGACGGTGTCGTGTGGATCGGGACGCTGTCGTGATGAACGGGCAAGATTTGGAGAAATTTTTCATTGTCATTTCTAGCCGATTAAGTCCAGATTGTGTCCAGATCTTGCCGAATGCGTCGGTTTACTGTCCGGTCACTGTCGGATCTCTGTCGGATCGCGTTCGGGAGAATCGGGACGCTGTCGGGACAGATTCGGTCGTTTTTTACCATGCGGAAGATTGTTGTCGTGATTAAATAAATGTTTTTACAAATTTGTGAATTTCCCTCCAAGAATCACAGGATCTTGATCAGACTTTTGATTTTTTTTAATCGGGAATGGCCCTTTCAAGGACGGCAGTAAATATGCTGAATGTGTGACTGAGGCTTAAGCCATTCCTAAAGCACACAAATAAAGACCAACTTTTATGTCGTGTTTGCAGTCAACTTCAGCCGTTCACACAATACACATGGAAACACGTCCTTAAATGACATTAGCTGTAAATAGGACATTAAAAAAAACCCAACCCAAACCAAACACTAAGGAATCAAACACTGATTTGCTACCCCCATTGCAATATTTGGGATCTATATGTTCTCCTCTGTGTACATACATTACGTTGTTGTCTCCCTATAGACAGCCCTTTTGATGTGACCTTAGCTATTGCCATGACGTCAAACCCCATACAAATAAAACGCCTGCGGATACGGGATGATTTTGGTTTAGTTTTATTTTCTTGTATGTCTTTTTAATGGCTACGGTTATTTAAGGACTTGCCTCCGTGTGCCTGCTATATCCCACTTTATGTTATCGCAAGAGGGATATAACGGCGGGGGTCTCTTTCTCTTCTACTAAGAGGACCTTTGTGTGCTTGAGGCAGGTTGTTGGTGTATTTGCCTCATTGCGATCGTACGGATCTGATGCCGACGGGGGTATATGCCTACTGTATCCCACTTTATGTTATCACAAGAGTGATATAACGACGGGGGTTTCTCTTTCTCTTCTACTAACGGGACATTGAAGAAACAAACATTGATCTGCTGCCCCCATTGCAATACTTGGGAGCTATGTATTTTCTTTTCTCACTTCGCCTCCTTTTCCTGAACAAGTGTTAGGGTCACACCGTTACGAGGCTCTAATGTTTACATAATTACCTCACATAATAGTCTTGAGATCAGGTGATTTAGATACACACAATACCAGTGAAATTCATTGATGAAACTTATTAACGTGGAATTGTTTAATGTTATCTTTAACCACGGACTTAGATAACTATTCTAATTCCGTGCTTTAACGTTGTTTTACACCATCGTACTGGTTCCCTGTGTTCGGCCTGCTGATCACAGTACATGTACACCCCTATAAACATTAGACGTGATGAAGTAACATCTGGAGTCCGTACTTTATTTACGGTTTACAAGTTTCGGCTAGGTAGGCTAACCGTCATAAAAAACCGGTATACATTTTTTAAGAGCTAATGTAAAAGAAATACGGCTCAGTCGTTACACGTTACAATTATCACCAGCGTGTAATAACAATACACTGACCAGTCGTAAGGCTTAAAGTCAATTAAGAACTTAAACAATAGGGGTGCAGTTATAGTCATATGACAGAAAGGACGAAGTGTTGGATTTCAAAATGACCATTTACAAAATATAAACTCGTCTTTAGTTATACAGTGTTAACGTGTTTGTTATTATTTGTTGGTGTTAATATCCCATACAACCGGTACACGTTGACTTCTCTGTTGAAAAGATTTTTTATCGTTTTATCTTGTCCAAAGATTTCATCCAGGGAAGTTCAACACTAGTAGTTATAGAGGTATTTAATCGGAGACGTGGGTACATCGGCTTTCAGACCAGTAGTCACACGGGACATCTGAGTTGAAGTTTGATTCACTGAAGATACAGTTTGAGCTGTGATATACATCTTTTCGTAGTTGGTAGTGTCCTGTACTTTACAGCTTGATGGTTTGGTGGCTGTAAACTGCAAAAGCTATGTGTTGATGCTCCATATTTTCTTTGTATCAACCTTCGGTGATGAAACTCTATGGAACATGGGATAACCGTAAAAACATCCTTCTAAAATCCATTGCGTTTATAGGGTAATTGGTCCGACGATTTTGTCCGGGGCATATTTTCTATGCTATTTCACCTGGAGGAACCAAGTACAGGTCTTGGAAACCCCTTGAATTAGATATTGATCTCATTGTTTTTATACTGCTTTTTGATGCTTCGAATAGTAGTATAAAGTTATTTCTTGTTAAAAATCTTATTTTTGTATTTTACATTTTATCATTTTATCAATATTTTCGTTATCACCTGATAAATCAACCGGAGTTTGGTTCAGGAGTTTAATAATTATTTTGCACTTTTTCATCAAAAATGTCTCAAGTTGAAAAACCCTTGAAAATCTATTAATTTTTATTTCCAAAATGTGTATGAGCCCTGAAAAACCTATCGGTATATCTGTTTTATTGAAAAGTATTGCATGATGTTGTCTTCCCTGGATGTTAGGTGTTAGACATGTGCAAGTTACTGAAATATCTTCGACATTCTAGGTATGCACACCACCATCTGCAAGCAAACCAGAACAATTTGGGACATAATCAAGGGCGCGTTCCTGGAAAAAAAATATCTATTAAAAGTCTATTTAGCTTATCAGGTTTTTTATATTTAGTTTTTGTCACTGTTTATGCTAAAATGTTAGTACACTAGTTTATATAACTCTCTAACCATGACAGGAGACCAATATGGTTGGGTAACTTGTCTAAATACACTATGTACCAAGAGTACCTATTCAATATATCGTTGTTCATGATATATCAGTATTGCGAATGTGTCACAATCATGCGATTTTCGCGACGTCGGAATTTTAAAACATAGCGTCAACAATACTTTGACGTAATAATTGGCTGGACGTCACATTGGGCAAAACAGTTGTGGTTACTTCAAATTGGCTGAGTCAAACATTTGGCAGTCTAAAGGTTTAAGTTCAACATTCTTTATTTGTGTAGTTTAAATTCCATTACACGTTATTTTAACCCCATCTACACAACAGTATCAAACAGCTGAGCTGCCAACACTGGAACCGAGGCTGACGGGGGCCGTCGCTGACCATGAAATGAATCAATAATATATGATAAATGTTCAGCATTCAAGGGGGTGGGGGCTTTAAAAACCCCAACCTCACCCTAAAAAATATGATATCATGATTGCCACTGCTAAAGCCACACGCAAGAAAGCAAGAAAAAGGAAAGCAATATTATTCACAATCAGTTTGCGTCCGACTTTAAAAAAAAAAGAACTCCTACTCGCGGTCAGTTTTTTGTGTCCAACAACATTACTTTCATTGGTATTGCCATGCAGTATATTTTTATTTGAAAGAACTTATAAAATATTTCTAAAAATGTTAATAATACCAGGGACTATATATACTTTCCCTGATAATACCAGCAACACAAATCATAAAGGGAGCTATTTCCTTTGCTTGGCCTATTCATAGACAGCCAATCAGAATCGGTGTTATTTGCCCTGAATATTTCTGCCTCATTCTGAACGCCATCTTGGATCAAGACGAGGTCCAGTTTGTGATTTCGAGGTTTGTGACTCGTTTTCAGCCCCTGCCTCATTGCTGTCTCGTTGGATCCTCATTTTCATCAAAGCGAAAATAGAGGTTTCATTTTGACATGTCGGAGGGAATTATGGTATCTGCTAATAAATTAATGCAATATTTACGAAGATTTTTGTTCAAAAGCTCTCAATATTATGTCTGATGACATAATTTTCGTAATGAGACGATGTAACGTTCCGTTCGATGCAAACGATGTAACCTCATGTACGGTATCTACTGCATGCATACTAGGGTTAACAACAGTTATCACCAGAAAAAAACCAGCAACCTTATGTTAGAGTTTACTGTTCAGCCTTGACCAATAATATTTTTCCGTGGACACTGACAGTGTTTGGTGAATGATGATTAGCCATAAATAACGAACAATGCAGTAGGCCCCAAGTTAGAAAAGAGTTTGAAAAAATCTTTGAAGAGCCTCAGATCGGAACATCTAAATGTCAAAACTAAAGTCATTGTCATGCCATCCATGATAGCGCGTACGGTTACTTTATGATAAAATAATAAAAAAATGCATAGTAATTGATGACAACAGTCTATGATTATTTCATAGATTAAACCAAATGCTGTTCTGTAGTTATCACGAGTAAGTCTTATACATGTATTTAGAACTTACATGTTTTTTTCTGGCAGTAACCTGAATGTCAATATTATAACATTTTTGCAGATCTGAAAAATATGAGCTGAAATTATAAATGTCGACAAAATGTATTGAAAGTGTGTTCCTAGGTTCTTTAAAAAACACCTGTCAAAATTGTTCCCAAACTGTCAATTAATGTGGTCATGACCCTTAATGGTGTGGATTTGAGCCATTAACTTGCCAGAATTATCCTTACTTGTTCTGTTGTTTAACATGCTTTTTAAGGTAATAAATAATAATCTGTTAAAATAATCATAATAAAGAAGAAAATAACTGTTTTTCCATTATTTTAATCATTTGCCAATTACATTAAAACAAAACGTCATTCATGTTGTTCATGCAGTTTGAGGCTGTACGTAATAATTGTAAAAAATTCAGAATGTGCCTCTTTGCAAGCTAACATACAAATTAAATCTACTATGTAGGCCTACCACACATACACCATAATATTAATTTTAAAGTGATAAACTGTTCTTGATGTGAGTGTAATTTGGCCTGTCAAAAATATTTGGGGCATTGGATTTTAAATTCATATAAAAGTTTTTTTGGGACCTGGAAGTTAAGGTCAAAGACTCTATCTCACTGAAAACTTTTTTTTGTAGATAAAACAAAGGTAGCCATGGCTGACGGAGAGGATGAGGTGAGCTCCTCCACAGACCCAGTGTCGTGTGGAATAGTCCTCCGACACCCAGATGATCTTGGAGTCTCGGCCAGCAAATATAAAGCTGTCAGTCCAGATGAAGGATTAGGTGATCTAAGCATCAGCTCAGGTATTGAGATACTGATACCAGATTATGATAATCCTATTCTATGAGAAATGAAAGCTACTGTAATCACTTTAAAATTTATTCAAAATGTATATTTAGATAAAAAATTATACAAGACCACAAAACTGTTCTCGATCGAGGTGTTGATTATCCTTTATTACTAAGCGACTTAAGATCTACATTTAAAACAGTTAAACAGCTTAGTTTTTATGTATGTGATTATGAGTCTGAAATAGCTATATGTTTCTATATTATTGCTTGAAACATCTGAACAGATGATGTGGGATTAAAAAATTAACAATTGTGACAAAAAGATAACATGCATTTCATGATTTATTGTATTGATGATCCGTAATGAATGTACTAATAATTGGACCATACTAATAATGGGAAATGTCAAAAGCATTGATATATTCTAAATGATGAATTTTATGTACATCTCACAGTATACATGTACTTTGATGACATATTAATGATATTGTTGTAATATGATGTAAAAACCAAACAAAAACATGTATATAGAAATAGAACTGCTGGAGCCGTAAGAGGGTTTCCCTTCAAATCAGTAGATGAAGCACTGACCTAGTAATCTGTGGTCAGAGGTTCGATTCTAAGTGACGCCATACCTCAGCAAGTATCTGACCTCAGTTCACCTGAAATTACCTAGATAAAAATGAACTTACCATTATCTTGTTTGATTTTGTTAGAGACATTGTACAAAATTCTTTCTTTGCTTTTTTGAACGGAATATCATGAAAAGCACTATCAACACTTCATATTCTGTAATATGTAGCTTAATTACATGTAAAGTAATTAGTGTTAATTACATGTTAGTAATTAGTGTTATCAATGTGGTTAACTTTCTGATTTTCAGTGTCTCCAAGCTTAGCCAATCCAACTCTACAGGGTTTATTATCCTCACCAGTGTCTCTGCCAGGAAGTCAGCTCATTGGAGGAACAGAAGGCATACAGATCATTGCTGTATCTGCGTCTAATGACCTTTTGGGCCAGGCTGACAGTTCGGGACGTGTGTGGCATATGGTTCCCCCGGAAATGGCCACCATCATAGCTGTGGCTGGAGACGGCACACATGAGCTTGAACATAAACATGAAATGGCTGGTAAGAGTTTGATAAATTGGCAGAGCTTTCCTATTAGCTTCAACATCCACACCGTTTTCTAGGATTAAAAGAAAAACCCATAGTAGTGTACAATTTCATATTAAGAGTACTATCTTGCAGGCCCGATTTTGAAATATTCTAATAGCCTAATTTTCATAGTAAATATTGCAATTTTTGACTAGCCCTTACAAAGTCTTTTGGCTTTGGGAACCAGGCTAGTGGAGTTGTACATCTATGATGATTAAACTTTCCTGGTAAGTGTGATTACATGATCTAAAATTTTGTTCATGAAAACACATCAAAACTGCAACATGATAATACCTTAGAAATGCAAACATCACTCTTTTTCATTTTACATTAACTATGTAATTAGCGAAGATATCCAAAAGCAACAATTAAAGTTACTGCAACAATTAAAGTCGTCCTGCTGCAGTATGGGTTCTAGCTGAGGCTACTTACCAATTTTCACTTCCTTGAATGAAACAAGAGAACCAGGGAGTGGGGGGTTACTGAACAAATTATAATAAGTCATTGAATACAGCTGTTATCTTACTTACAGTGGCAGGAGTGGAGATGGAGGATGCCATTGGGGGAGGTTCTAATGAGGTATCCAGTGGAATGTCACATGACTCGATAATGATGCCCCCTCCTCCACAGCCCCTCCCTGCAGACTGTCCTGCCTGGGCACACAGGATTAAGTGTTGTGAGGTAAATGTATAGAACAGAATCAGACTAACTTGAATTCAAGTAACTGTAAATTATTTCACGTGGAAATTGTTGTTAAGCCTACTTTGCTTTTGCTGTGGTTTTTACTCTGACATGTTCAGCTATGTATTTTGTTCTAAAATTGACATATTTAAATATGTTGATCCCAATGACCATAATCCAAGATGGCTGCCATAGGGTCTGCTTGGCTGAGACCTTTCAGGCTATAAGTTCTGTTTTGTTGATTTTGTTATGTTCATACTTGGTGGGAAATTGCACTTGCAATTGTTGGATAACATTTGTATCCTATTACCTATATTTAAAAAAAAAACCAAGAGGATTGCTGTGGCTTCTACTTGGTGATTGTTAGGGATACAATGTAATGCACACACAGTGGTGTTCTTGGAGCCTATCATTGTTGCTGTTTTTACTTTTAGTCTAGTATAAACGGTTTAGCCCTTTCACTCCTATGTTACCTTAATAAACTCTATGATGCATTGATCTGGATAAGTCCATTATGGTCTACAGTGGTGAAAGGGTTGATAACTTCAGGAGAATAGTCGGAATTCAATTCCAAAATCCACTTTATAATATATCTTTATCTGTATACTTTATTCAGAAAATCGGTGACTCATATCGTGGCTATGTTGATAGTGAGGTTGACCTGGACCTCCTGTTGACCTATCACAAACAACAGACTCAGAGTTTCTGGGGGACACGTCAGTCCCCTTCCCCAGCCAAACCCTCAACACGTCTGATGTGGAAGTCCCAGTACGTTCCATTCGATGGGATTCCGTTTGTTAATTCTGGTAGTCGGGCCATCGTGATGGAGTGTCAGTATGGTCCAAGGAGAAAAGGCAATACCTTGAAGAAACAGATGATTGATCAATATGGCCCCAATAAACAGTGTGAGCAGTTTGTACCAGGAGATTACAGACAGACGTGTCCTGCCAGGTACATTAGCTTGACTCATTACATTTTACTTTCTGCAATGTTTTGTTCGTGCACTATAAATTTGTTCATAGTTCACAGTTGAAAGAGAATTTGAAAGAAAAACTTAATACTTTGTTGTAAGTCGGATTATNTCTGCGCTAAATTTACGCGGGGCTTCCCCGAGATTTCAGTGGTCAAAACTGGACAGTGCAAGCAGAACTCTACCATCATATTGCTGTGGTATAACTTTTGGAAGGCCAGAGAACGCATTTAGACCCATTTATTTTGTAATTTTTTCCCGACCAGCCCCTTTAAGAAAATATTTTTTTGTTTTGTAGGGGAATGAAACAAGGATTTATTAAATTGTTTCATTTCCTTCATTACTATATATGTAACTGTAACAAATTGATTCTAATTTTTTTGGGGGAGGGGCAGACGACATCAAATAGATTCCACTTATCTTCCATTACACAGTAATTATTATGGTTCTGCTAGTTACAGATCATCTAAAGCATACAGATGGTTAAAATATTTATATATGCAGTGTTGTTTGGATAACCAGTCACAGGTAGTATCATAGTTGTCTAAAGCAACCTACTGACTAATTGGTGGACACGACCAAGGTTTAAAGATTTCGATAATCAGGGTTCAGACGATTGGCATTCTGCTGTAACTTTATTGCTATTTTGTTTTATCGTGTTTTATATTTTTCCTTAACAGAATTTACATAAAGAAGGTGAAGAAGTTTCCTCAGTATGCTGTGGACCTTAGTATCGATAAAAAGACACTAAAGTTAGCAATGGATAAAGCTTTCCATGAACTGAAACAGCGAGGATTTGATGATATTGGCCATGAAAGGTATACAAAGTAAACCTACTTAAATTAGAATAAATATACATAGTAATTATAGAGAATCTCAAACAGGTCCTAATGTCGTGAATTTTGTTATGAGACAAAACGCAACGAGTTCGCCCTTTTCAACAAATGAAATGACATATATTATCAACAAATGAAATAGCATATATCGCAAAATGTAAACCTTTCCTCATAAATAACACATTTTGTGGAAAAAAAGCAAGGAAAAAAGTTAAAGCTTGTTTTGCCTATATGACAGATTTACGATAGCATTATGACTAATGATTTCTCAACAAAGATTTACCTAATGAATTAATAGGTACATGTATGTCAGTGGTGGTATATCTCGAACTAGTCCAAATTACTTTCTCCTGTAAAATGAAAGAGAATAGTGTGCTTCCACCAGGGATTGAACCCTTGATCTCCAGTTCCTAGTCAGACGCTCTACCACTGAGCTAAAGGGAAATTCTCTCTAGCTCGAAGCTCGAAGCTATGTACAATTGAACCCTACCACACTACTCCCCCCTTTTTAAATGTGTTCGCCCTCGAACACCACAACCCAGGTTCTAACTCCCAGTGTCACCACAGGGAGGGCCACGGACACCATTTGTAAAAATATAACAGGTTCCTAGTTGAATGCTCTACCACTGAGCTAAAGGGAAATTCCCTCTAGCTCGAAGCTAGAAGGCGACCTTAACCCTTTGTACAATTAAAACCTGCCACACTCCTTTTAAAAAAATCCTTTATTTGGTAGAGATATTCCATAAACAATATTTAAAAGATTTATTTTTATTTTGGACTAATCTGGAACAAACTTCAAACAAAAAACAACAAATTTTTATCCCACATTAAATCTGTGACTGGAAGATGTAAGAAAATAAAATACACCTTTACAAGCCTATTATGGTGAACCAATAGTGTTGAGACAAAGGTAACAAAAGGAAGATTTCAACATTGGTTTAAAAACTTGTAAAAGCTGTTGCCCTGTTGTAAAAGCTGTTGCCCTGTTATGCACAGATTACTTCCTGACTTTATGCATGATATGGTTTTCATCCAGGTACTACATACAGCTGCCCACTGATAAGGCCCATGAGTTCCACAACGATGCTAACTGCTCCACCACCCAGGTCCAAAGTCCAGCTGCCACTGTCAGCATGACCACCAGTATGGCCTTTGATGGTCTGGAGATGGACAGTGCTATACAGAGGCTGGACCCCCGTGTGGCACAAAAGATAAGGGAGATAGTATCTGGTGGGGAGACCAGAGTTTACTCAGTAAGGAAAATTCTACGGTAAGACTTCTTAAGAAAAATTTGACAAAACTGAATCTAGAACATATATTGTAAATGTATATGTTTCAGCGCTAACAAATTTAGCACATTATCAAATTTTAATAGATTAGTCCATTAATAAATTGGGGAACAAACCAATTATGTAAAAGAAAAAAAAAAGAGGAAATTCTATTGGCGCAATCATAATTCAGTGCAGTATTAAAATGTACATTGTCAGGGATGATAGCTGAAGGTTTTCATTCAAAAAGTACATGGTACTAAGCTAATAAGGAATCTGTAAAGTAGTTATTAGGTTTTATTCACTGTCCTTGGTTAGCACTTTAAAAATTCAACAAATATTTTCCTGTTGTAACTTGCCTGCACAGACTTTTTTTCCTTGGTTATAAGACATCTGAAAAACTCCTCGCTAACAAAATGTAATATGATATAAACATACAACTTCACGTGAGTTACTTCACGTTATGTTGTCGGTGTATAATTCAACAACTGATTTGGTATCACTTGCTGTATAATTGAGATTTTTTGAGTCAATTTCTTGTATTTATAAACAAGCAGTGATTTTAATTTGATTATCGTCTACTTTTCAGGTCATTTGTGGTTCGTCAGTTGTACAATGGCGGGGAAATACCTGAGCGGCATGACCTTACACTGTTTCCAACAGTAAACGACCTCAAAAATCACATTCATCAAGCATTAAAGGATATCGAGTGTGGGTCTTTGGCCCTCACTGCCCCAACAGTATGTATACTGATATCATTTCATTCAGCACTGTTGCGCTATGTCCCCAAAATTCGGCAAGGTGTCATTCGTTTGATGGAATCAGGTTTATAGATATGATTTTGTAGTTTCAGTTTTACTGATTTAATTTTCTGATATAGAAGACTATGGCCCCTTTTGCGTAACCGGTTCAACCAGTTTGTCTGTTTTTAAAGGTAACATTTTAGAATATAAATACTGGCAGACCTGCAAATTTTTATGCAGGTCTTGCAAGGCTTTGTCAAGGGTTGCCTGAAAGCAGTATCAGATTACTAGGTCTGACCTTATTTCATAAATGAACAACTCTGATCCAAACAGTTTACCCGTATGGATCTCAATAAATGTATGCAACCTATGAAATCTTGCTAATTATTCATAGTTGTTCTAAATGCTTAAGTTTTGAAACCACTGAATCTGAACTCAAGCGACAACTTTACACCTGGTCTGCTGATCATGAGGATGTATCATGTTCTTGTCTTTTTTTTGAAAACAGGTTTAAATTTAAAAGAAGATGTACTGATGTATTCTGTCCTCAGTATAAGAGATTGCTTTAATACCTAGATCACAATTGTATATTTCAGGTAAATGTAGAAATTATTACGAGTAATGATGGTGCCCAAAGTGCTGAAATGGGACAGATGGACCAATCACTATGGCAACAGACATCTCAGGAGACGGGAGACGGTTCTGAGCCAGTTCCTGAAACAGTCACTGTTACATTAACACAAAACCCAGGAGAAGGTCATTATACTTTTTCTTCCTTAATTATGGAGACAATTTATTTCAAACAAAGTATGTATTTGTATTTTATTTGATATGGAGTATTGACTGTCATGTGTTACAGTATATATATCTATAAATTGAAATCTGCATCAATAAAAATCAATGTATAAATGCTACTGATATAGTAACCAATACATAACAATTTGTTTTTAGAAAATATATGTATTGTTTTACTCTTTGAAAGAGAGTACTGGTTAACAGCAATTTGATTATTTCATGCTTAAATTTTATGCTAAAACATTTTGTGTTTTAAATATCTTATTGGAAGTATTCTGACTTTATTTTGTTTTAGATGGTCATGTGATATCAAGGATTGAGACACATCTGAGTGATGGTAGTATGCGAGTGAGCACAACCTTAACTCCAGAAACAGCCCAACTTCTGTCTAGACTCCACCCAAACATGTTCCCAGCTAATCTCCTCATGCAGGTATTCAGTTTACATATTTCTGTCAGTAAGAGTTATCTCCCATGTGGTAAAACCATAGTTGCATGTAAAGGATTATAAGACTCTTTCATGTCAAGGGTGTAGGATAGGGAAATTCCATCTAAGGGTTTTAAATTTGATAAAATCCAAGGTGAGTGTTGTGCACAATTTGAAAAGTCATAGGATGGAATACTGTGAGAGTATTTTTCTCTCATTCCAGTCACAAGAATTAGCTCAAAAACCACAAAAAGGCATCTTGATTTTGTGACACCACATCATTATTTTCTCCCTGAGATGTCACACTCATGAAATGTGGTGTAAGTTAGAATTTTTGTATACCTCGTTTTCCTTAACGAAAAAAAAGAGGGTATTTTTGTCATACACACTGGAATGAAGGAAGACAGCAGTCAGATGGATGCAAGAGCATTTTGCTACAGCGAAATACATCTGTCCACATTTGTCCACATCCTAGGGTAAAAAAGACAAGCTACACGCTCAATTGATGTTACATTGGGTTAACAATAGCTCATTATGGAAAGATATTCACTGCATTTCCTGGAAAATGTACAATCAACACTTCTTTTTGAGATTTGAGAAAAAAAGAATATTTTATTAATGTTGTCAGAATTGTGACTTCACCATGGAATCAATTGAAAGACATTGCATTTCTTAAGATGTGATGTCAGATTACTTGAAAAAGTAGCTGTTTATTTTCAAAAATATTAGCATGTAGAAAGGATTCGTTTTCCTATTAAAAAAAAAGTGGGAAAAGAGGCAGCGATTTGTTATATGAAAGGATATGGAAGAAAAACAGTTAAATAGGTGTGTGGAAGGTATGGAAATTCTAACCTTGTGTGAAAAATGATAATCTAAATAAATATCTGTTTCCTTTGTCAGTGCAAGTGACCCTTGTCCTGACTCTATACTGCTGAAGTTAACTTGATAAGCCACAATTGGTCGAGTCAGCTGTCAGAATAATATTGAGATATTGTACTGCAGACAGTCACAGAGAGGAGTAATATGTTAACAGTAATACCCCTTACTGGATGTTAAAATGGGTTTGGTCTGTCTCCATATGTTTCCCCTTCGGAAAGGATTTCCAAAAATCAGAAGAGGAATGAGATAAAGTGTAACAAGAAATGACGTTAAATTTGTATCTTACAGCAACAAGTGGACCAGGCAGTGACATCAATATCAGACCCATCAGTGCCACCGTCTAACAACATAAAAGTGGAAGGTTCGGTACCTTTGTGTGGGGTGGAGCACATAGACTCGAGTGTAGTAGGTGCTGTTGGGGACAGTATAATGAACGGGGGTGTGACCTCGAGTGACCCCCAGGACATTGGGGGTATACACATAGTACAGAGGGGCCTGGGTGTGACTACCTCACATGGGGGCGTATGTGCTGTGGTAGCTAGCTCAGACCTGGATCAAATGTCAGCCCAACTTGAAGGGCCAGGGTCTGGAATGTCATTGGAGGATGAGGATGAATCTAGTCTAGGTCAAGCCACACAACACCATCAGTTTGTCACAGTCACTATGAATGGTAAGTCATGGAGCCTTCCTCATAATCAGTTTTGATTTTAAGGGATGAGTGTATACATATTAAACAAGTTTTCTATCACAAAAAGTAAGCTTCTTCAAAACTAGATAAAAAGGTTGCAAGCTATATGTTCAAAAGAATTTGAAGTAAAAATTAAGTCCTAGAGTGTTATTTTTCCCATTAAAAAGTTTGCAATGGTAATTATATAACTAACAATTGTTTGTTTTATTGTTTTTTTTGTAGAATCAGGGGAAATAATTCCAGTTTTGGATGTGGATGGATCAAGCATTACAAGTTTACACCAGGCGACTTCATTAGACTGATTCATGTGTTTAAGTGCAGGACAATAATGGCTTCCATCTCTTTAATTTACCAGCAATATGTATACCTATATATCAACAGTAGTGCTTAATACATTACACACCAAGCTGTTCACTGATGAGAAAAGAGGAATCGGTTTTAAATTGTAGCAAATCAAGATTTAGAATTCAACAAACTTTTTAATACATGGTTTTGATACGTTGAGATGTTTTTAGGATGATGATTAGTTTTCTGTTTTGAATTCCTGTCCTATATCATCTTGTCAGTGTGACAGTAACAGGGATTGTGCAATGTATGTTCTGTCAAAAGTCAGAGGTAGGTTAGATTAAAAAACAGCATGACCTTAAAAAAGATCCTGGTTGTTCTAACCCAGGAGAGATCTTTCTGGTTGAGGTCATCTAAAACATTCTGTGGAAGTTTTTTATCTGACACTTTAAAAAAGAAAAAATCATTTGATTAGAATGTGAATATCAGTTTATTTCTAAAATGGTGATGTTTATTTTCATGCAAGTTTAGGGTGTTGGAAAGGCTCATTAATGTTATCAGAAGTTTTGTATTTTAAAATTTGTGTGTGTAATTTGAAAACAACACATGTACAGTTTTCAAAGTTCAGAAAGAAAGAAAGAAATGAAAATACATATTCTCTGTCCTATGGTTTATAATGAAATACATATTCAGCTAATGCTTTACTATTACCATGAAACAAAATTGAACAAAATATGGCTAGGCCCTGATGACCTGTATTTATAATTAACTGTTATTATACAAAATTGATGAATATAATAATGTTAAGAAAGCAAAGGTTATGGAATTGGCCTGGATATCATTCACAGATGTTTATATAGATGTTTTATTTCTTTTTTTTTCTGGAAGATTAACATGACAATATTACGTAAGTTTACTAGGGCAGCTATTTACATATATATTTCTTCCATTGATGTTCATATATTTCAGTAGCATTGATTATTTTTAATAGGATTTCATTGAAATGGTTTAGGAATTTTTACTGCTTCTTAGAAGAAACAGCAGTAATGCTTTTTATGTGGTTGATTAATGAAGCTGAAGGCAAAGGTCACAAAGGTCATGGAAGGATGCATACCGTTGTATGATGTTGCTGTCAGGGTATTGTCAAAAAATTGACAGTCAAGAACAGTAAAAAAAAATTGATCTCAAAAATGGTATTTTTGTGAAAACATGTAATATCATATCCAATGTTTCCCATCTGCTAAATTTAAGTTCAGTTAAGAAAGCAGGAGAGAATGGTTAATTTGTGCTTTACATCCTAAAACTAAAAATCCTGAAACTAACCTTCTTAAAATTCAAATAAACAGAAAAGTTCTAACTGTGTTCAATCTGAGAGGATAGTAATATATTAGTGGTCAGTTTGATTCTCATCTGTATCAACAAAAACTAGTACTCATTGAAATGGGGCTTGCCATATCAGTGATATCTGTGCCACAGAATTCTGAGTCCTGGACTTTAGCGCTGGAACCTTTTTTGAAATATCATTTAGATTTCTGAATCCTTTGCTGAAATCCTTGAAATGAAATTCAGTTCAAAGTTTCTATAATTGATAAGTAATGATAAGCAAGTGACTGTATGCATCTCCTGATAATTTTGAGGTTATGCCTATATAACACTACAAGTGACAAAACCTAATGAAGGAATTGTGTCTCAATTTTTTTTATAAATACATGTAGGTCATTGTCTATTTTGTCAGTAATCTAGCTTTATCAGTAAAGTTTTTATCAGTTTATGTACATAGTCATGGAACAGATGCAAACAGACTAAACAATTCTGGACTAAAATGTATCAATTATTGTCGTATTGGGGACCAGGGACTATATGGGGAGGGATCCCTGGTCTGTGCTGTAATCAAAGATAAGTTTCCTGAAAAATATTTGCTCAGATTTTTATGTGAACATATTGTCATTGAATATTGTATGATACAAATACCTTTGTTCAGAACACAGCTGTTTATGATAGATTTTATATGTAACATGCTTCGTTAAAGAATACAACACCTGCTGCATCCAGGCGACTTTTAAGGGGCGTCTAGTTACATAAAGCTACACATTTCTGTATTGGACAACAAAAGTAGGATTTATAAACAAAATTTGAACAATACATGTCTATTTTGGACAACAATACTTTTGTGAACAATACATGTGTATATTGGGAGGTACTGTCAAGCAGTAGCATTATGAGTTTAATAACAGATTTCATTTATCTGATTCAGTGCAAAGTGTGCACCAGTGTTAGGGGTGTGCTAGTGTAATCTGTGAAGCAGTGTAGGGAGGTACTAATGTAAGGTCAAACAAAAAATATTTGGTGTTTCCGGGAACTCGATACCTACCCTTATTTTATTGTGCCTACCCTTAACTTTTTAAGGCAATTTTCAAAGAAGCACTGTTTAAGTCTAGATCACTCCTATATAAACCTCATAGAATTATCTTCAAAAATAAAACTTGTTACCTACCTACCCACCTACCCTAAATTTTTCAAAAAATGTTACAAGAAACACATAGTTTTTTGTCTGGCCTAATATGTGAAGCAGTGTAAGGTGTGAAACAGTGTAAGGCCTAAATAGTATAAGGTGTGAACAAGTGTAATGTGTTGAATAGTAAGGTGTGAACAAGTGTAGAAGATGAACTATTGTAAGGTGTGGACTATTGTAATGTGTCAAGCAGTGCAACATGTGAAGCAGGTAAAGGTGTGAACCAGTGTTAGGTATGTATAAGTTCCAACCAAAGTAATGTGTGAACATGTGTAATTTGTGAACCAGTGTAGTAAGCGAACCAGTGCACGGTGTGAGGCAATCTAAGGGTTGAACAAGTGCAAGGTCTGTAATAGTGTAAGGTGTATAAGGTGTACCTACCAATGTAACGTGTGAATGTGTGTAATATATTGCCCCGAGTAACATGTGTCCCAGAGATGAACTCTTGTATAAGGTTTAAACCCCTGTATGAACCAATGTTATGTGTTAATCAGCGTCAGTCAATGTGTTCATTATATTAAGTTAAACAGGGTATTTATTAAGTGCTTTGGGTTTCTGGTTGGTTCCCATGTTTAATTAACTCGTTTTAATTTGATCCAGCAGATTAAATGGTATGCACATATATGGGCTTCTTTTTATTTCCTATTTCAAATTTTTCATAAGATTTAAAACATTTTGAAATTAGTTATTTTATTGATGGGAAAAAGTTATCCCTAGCTTTTTGCTTAGTAATGTTTTATTTTAAAAGTGTACAAACATGTTTTGTTTAATGTGTGTTGTGTTCTAATTATTAATGGGTTCATTTAATCTGGATCTCACCGGGATACCCAGATGTATGTTGTTATTACTGTATGGGGATTTATTTTGATCTGATTTTGTGTGACCCGTCTTCTACTTTAACTGTGATCTGTATATAATGTAGTGTACAAAGTCAAAACAATTATTTAATTTTGTTGTTAAATGTTCTATGTTTATATTTATAATGGATTTTTTGCCAAAACAACTCTTATTAAAAGTATCAAGATGAGTTAAATGTTTTTTTTTATGTGACAAACATTCAGTTGTTGGATGTATGTTTTTGAGACCAGGTATACAAGTGTTAGTCTACAATTTAGTGTTTGTCAGTGACCCTGGATACTCTGGTGTCTTATGTCAGATGTAGGATTTGTCAGTGATCCTTGATAGTCTGGTGCTTTATGTCAGATGTAGGATTTGTCAGTGATCCTGGATACTCTGGAGTCTTATGTCAGATGTAGGATTTGTCAGTGATCCTGGATACTCTGGTGTCTTATGTCAGATGTCGGATTTGTCAGTGACCCTGGATACTCTGGTGCCTTATGTCAGGTGTAGTGTTTGTCAGTGACCCTGGATACTCTGGTGTCTTACGTCAGATGTAGGATTTGTCAGTGACCCTGGATAGTCTGGAGTCTTATGTCAGATGTAGGATTTGTCAGTGATCCTTGATAGTCTGGTGCCTTATGTCAGATGAAGGATTTGTCAGTGATCCTTGATAGTCTGGTGCCTTATGTCAGATGTAGTATTTGTCAGTGACCCTGGATAGTCTGGTGCCATATGTCAGATGTAGGATTTGTCAGTGACCCTGGATACTCTGGTGCCTTATGTCAGATGTAGTGTTTGTCAGTGATCCTGGATAGTCTGTTGTCTTATGTCAGATGTAGGATTTGTCAGTGACCCTGGATTCTCTGGTGACTTATGTCAGATGTAGTGTTTGTCAGTGACCCTGGATACTCTGGTCTCTTATGTCAGATGTAGGATTTGTCAGTGACCCTGGATACTCTGGGGCCTTATGTCAGATGTAGTGTTTGTCAGTGATCCTGGATAGTCTGTTGTCTTATGTCAGATGTAGGATTTGTCAGTGACCCTGGATAGTCTGGTGCCATATGTCAGATGTAGGATTTGTCAGTGACCCTGGATGCTCTGGTGTCTTATGTCAGATGTAGGATTTGTCAGTGATCCTGGATACTCTGGTGTCTTAGGTCAGATGTAGGATTTGTCAGTGACCCTGGATGCTCTGGTGTCTTATGTCAGATGTAGGATTTGTCAGTGACCCTGGATAGTCTGGTGCCTTATGTCAGATGTAGGATTCGTCAGTGACCCTGGATAGTCTGGGGGCTTATGTCAGATGGAGTGTTTGTCAGTGATCCTGGATAGTCTGTTGTCTTATGTCAGATGTAGGATTTGTCGGTGACCCTGGATAGTCTGGTGCCTTAGGTCAGATGTAGTATTTGTCAGTGACCCTGGATAGTCTGTGCCTTATGTCAGATGTAGGATTTCTCAGTGATCCTGGATAGTCTGGTGCCTTAGGTCAGATGTATTGTTTGTCAGTGATTCTGGATAGTCTGGTGCCTTATGTCAGATGTAGGATTTCTCAGTGATCCTGGATAGTCTGGTGCCTTAGGTCAGATGTACTGTTTGTCAGTGATTCTGGATAGTCTGGTGCCTTATGTCAGGTGTAGTGTTTGTCAGTGATCCTGGATAGGCTGGTGCCTTATGTCAGATGTAGGGTTTGTAAGTGACCCTGGATAGTCTGGTGCCTTAGGTCAGATGTATTGTTTGTCAGTGATTCTGGATAGTCTGGTGCCTTATGTCAGATGGAGTGTTTGTCAGTGATCCTGGATAGTCTGGTGCCTTAGGTCAGATGTAGTATTTGTCAGTGACCCTGGATAGTCTGGGGGCTTATGTCAGATGGAGTGTTTGTCAGTGATCCTGGATACTCTGGAGTCTTATGTCAGATGTAGGATTTGTTAGTGACCCTGGATACTCTGGTGTCTAATGTCAGATGTAGGATTTGTCAGTGATCCTTGATAGTCTGGTGCTTTATGTCAGATGTAGTGTTTGTCAGTGACCCTGGATAGGCTGGTGCCTTATGTCAGGTGTAGGATTTGTCGGTGACCCTGGATAGTCTGGGGCCTTATGTCAGATGGAGGATTTGTCAGTGATCCTGGATAGTCTGGGGCCTTATGTCAGATGGAGGATTTGTCAGTGATCCTGGATAGTCTGGTGCCTTATGTCAGCTGTAGGATTTGTCAGTGACCCTGGAAAGTCTGGTGCCATATGTCAGATGTAGGATTTGTCAGTGCTCCTGGATAGTCTGGTGTCTTATGTCAGGTGTAGTGTTTGTCAGTGATCCTGGATAGTCTGGTGTCTTAGGTCAGATGTAGGATTTGTCAGTGACCCTGGATGCTCTGGTCTCTTATGTCAGATGTAGGATTTGTCATTGACCCTGGATAGTCTGGTGCCTTAGGTCAGATGTAGTGTTTGTCAGTGATCCTGGATAGTCTGGTGCCTTAGGTCAGATGTAGTGTTTGTCAGTGACCCTGGATAGTCTGGTGCCTTATGTCAGATGTAGGATTTGTCAGTGATCCTGGATAGTCTGGTGCCTTATGTCAGATGTAGTGTTTGTCAGTGGTCCTGGATAGTCTGGTGCCTTATGTCCGGTTTTTATTTTTTCATGACGACGAAACACCTTTCACATACATGGTTGGTGAATAAGGCACCATGAACCATTATTTATTATGGAGCCTTGCTTTCTGAAACTGCTTTCAACAAATCCAAGATGCCATCCAACGTTAACAAAATGGCAAATTACCTCGGAGTTGGTGAAATATTTTTTAACGAGAACCCCTCACAAACAAATCTAACGTTATACTTAATATACCATGTGCAACAAAATTAGGAGATTCAGTAATCAGCTTATTTGTCCACCTGTCTGTATCTCTGTCTGTAGGAAAAGTTTATTCAGTCAACTTCATTGAATTAGGCCTAATTCCAGTAAAAAAATCTGTGTTCTGACTGCGCGATCTTCATGCAGCTGTGCACATCGCATTAGGTTTTGGTTTCAACTGAAGAGTTATCGTTGTGATTCTATTTCCTATTTCAAGCTAATTAAGCTCTGTCGGGCAGTCCGAACAACGTACCATTAACGATGTGACCAATTTCTATAAAACGTTTTGGGTATTTCGAAGTATGCATCGAGTTCAACGAACACATTGTCATTTTTAGGATATCAGATGGTTGTATTTAGCCACGAATTATATTGGGTATGCTTAACACTTGTTTAGCCGAGACAGTTACGTCACACAAAAAACTTAAGTTTCATAATTCAACAACAGGGTACAGAAACCAGAACCGTCCTCGCTTAGGCAAACGCTCAACAAGAAAGGATAATCTTTTAAGATTCCAAACTTTGCACTTTGTTACCTAAAACAAATAATAGCAACACTTGGTTAAACCAAGGACGTTGCCCTTCCTGCGGGGCCGAAAATGGGGAAATCTTTGCAATATGTCTTATGCTAAATGTCCAGGTGAGCAGTTAGCTCCAATTCTGTTCTTTCTAATGTAGTTTACATTATCTTTTTGTAATTTTGCCTTTTCTTGTTAATGCAGATTGTAAACAGAATCAATTCTTACTTATGTCATCATCATCAAACTTTATTTCCTCAAAAAAGGAGATATTTGTGTACAAGAAAAAAAGCAAAAATTACAAAAAAGGACAGAACATGCCGCGGTAGGGCGCAGCTAAACAACTGTGTCCTCGCGAACGCGAGCAAAAGTATCTTAAATCATTCCATTCTCGTGAGTTCACGAAGCGCGCACGACAAAGTATGCTGCATGCATCAGAAACAGTTTTTGAGTTGTATCATCCTGGAATTGGGGACCTGTTTTTGCACCTAATAAATTGTGAACAAAGGTAGTTTTGTCATGTTGATCAATGTAATTGAACACATTCAATCCAAACTTATACAGGGTCATCTGAAGAAAACGAGCCCGGAGTTCACTGATGTACTCGCAGGTACAGTAATAGTGGGATATGACGTCACAGAAATGTTGGGAACACTTGGAGCAAATGTTCTGGTCAGGTGCCGAAGGCTTTGCCAATAATCTGCACAATGAATAAATTGCGTCTATGTCTCTGTTAGATTTTACCGAGCGAAACATTATGTACGGATTGTAGGAGGAGTGACAGTTCCTAAATATATCAAAATCACGGTTGTTTCTTAGTCGATATTTTGGGCCAGGTTCTTTCTAGCCATTATGGAATTTCTCACTATTCCCTTCCACTGAAGCTTAGAGGGGAACGTGTAGTTACGAAGGTATGCATCCATGTAAGACGACAGGTTATATTTGTTGATTATCTGCACAATATCCGGAACAAACCCTCTTTCACGAGCACTTCTAACATTTTCCGTTTGCAAATGAAGGAATGAATATAGTCTTCTTGTGAAGATCTGCTTCGTTAAGAAAGACTACTCCATCAGAATAATCTTTCCCAGAAATATTAGCTTCCTCTTATCAATAGCTGCAGAAATAATAATCAAACCAAGTATAGACTCGACGATATCTGACCTGGCACGACGATCAGCTCCAAGCATGACTTTAGCAGTGTAATGTTGAAAGCGACTAAGTTTCGCGAGGTCGGTATAACCGTGTTGAACCCAGTGCTCACATCCATATAGAATTGACGGTATTATCACTTTCTTATAAAGACTGATTTTTACTAGAAGATTAATATCACATGCTGATGGACAAAGCCCTATGATAGAATGTAGCGTCTGTCTCCCTTCGACACTAACAGCCTGGATGCGTTCAGCGTTAGACATTTGTGAGCTTACAATAGTTCCTAGATGAACTTGAGATGAGGTGGTCTCAATAGTGACAGAACCAAGCATCCAACTAACATCAGGCTGTCTTGGGATGTAATTTCCAGATTAAATACGAATTTCCACTCACGACTGTATTCATAGCAAATGTTCAGAAGCTTTTGAAGTGAAAGCGGGTAGTCTTAGGGGAAGCTGTGATCAAGGATATGTCGTCGGCTAACGTCGGATTTTTAAAGAAGGGAATCGATGAAAGTTTGCAGTTTGGTATAAAAATGTGGACAGTACTCCTCCTTGTCGAACCCCCGACTCAACAGGAAACCAAGGCGACGTCGTTCCCTGCCACGTCACAGCGCTCACCATATTAGTGTAAGACTCGCGAATACACTGGAAGAGTTGTCCATTGACT